CCCTCCTTCTTCACTGACCTTGGTGTCTGCAGAGTTGGTTCTCTCACATTGTCTCACTCCTCTTTCTTGACTGCCATTTCACCACAGTTTTTTTCCCCTTCTTAACCATGTTATCCCAGAGGTGCTGCTACCGTCGCTGAGTGCCTTGGCCTTAGCCAGCAGCGGGTCCATCTTAGAGCCGGCTGGCACTGGCTTTATCAGACATGGGAGAGGTTTCTCGCAGCTTCTCACAGAAGCCACCCCTATAGCCCCCTCTCTGGCAAAACCTTGCCACTCAAACCCCTAACAGAGGTGGATGTTTAATACTGTAGGTATCTAACACTTGAGGGGATTAATTCCTCTTGTTTCAGAGGAAATGGTTTTCAGTTATCTGTTTCCTGGTATTGACAAGGAATTGAGGGAGGAAATCTGTTTGTGACTTAAGGTGAACACTTGCATGTGCAAGTCCAAATTCAAAGTGATATCTTTGGCTGTACCACCGTGTCAACATGGTAGTTGATACATGTCTTCTGGCGTTTAGAATGCTTCTTTCCAAACTATATTTTTTATTTTATATGTCACACAGGCCCTATCTGCAGCTTATGGGCCAAAAGTGTTAGCAACAGAATATTTTGCTATTCTGCTTCTTCATCTAGATGAAAATGGTCATGGGTCTGAGAAGTGATGACATGCGTTTTTCTTCACAGTTTTCTTGGTGAAGGGCCACTGTCCTTATCAGGTGTCCAGTGTGAAAGGAAGTCTACTTACTGCCAGAGTTTTGTGTCACTTCAAGCTGATACCGATTTTAGAGTTTGAGCATCAGGAATGGCCTGTTTCTGAATTGATGGAGCATCCTGCAGAGTCTCTACTGCTAGTATGATCTCACATATGTTAGGTCATGTGGCTGCAAGCATTTTCTTGTGGAGCCAGACAGGAGATGCAGTATATTGTGGCTACTTGTGATAGTTCCTTGGAAGGTTTTGATTTTGCTGATCTGAAGAGCCATTCGGTGTCTGTAAGGGAACGTCTTCGCATTTTCAGGCTCCTGAACGTTTTGGTAAAGGATGGGATTTTTGTGGGCTAGGGGATTGCATGAGCAGCTTTAGCAGCTTTCCCTCATTTGAGGTTTTGATTCCCAATAGAACATTAACCTAACGTTGTTTTCATGTGGCTTTAGACTTGTCCCTAAAATCTTCTAATGGAGGAGATTCTCCAGAATAAGAATAAACTAATCTGGGGGGAAAGAATAAACTAATCTATTTTGGAGACACTGGAGAAGATAATGCTAAATAACACAAAAAGTACATTTCGGTGATGGAGCAGGAGGTGATTAGGGCAAGAATAATTATGTTGTAAATGTGCTGCAGGAAAAGCTCCAAAATGAGAGTATTAAAGAACCTTTTCCGTTTTTGTTGAATGTAGCAAATCAATCTGTTGCTTTATTTCAGGTAATAGTGTATGTATTAGCAAGAAGAAGTAACTTACTGACTTTGCTATAGTTGTGGTACTGCCTTCTTGTTCATAGTGGACTATATTGTCACAGAAGAGTTTATTTCCAATCAGAATATCCTTTACCTTGTACTTCCCTCCCAATGCCTGTCCCTGTCTTTCCCTCCTTCCCAGTTATAAGGTAAAAGGCATAGAAAAATATTAGAATCACTTAATGAGCTCTCTATCAGCCAAATATGAAATGTGGCGCTCTTTGTATTTTGTTGTATGGATATTATCTGTGTGGGGTTTTTTTGATCACTGGATATATGTCGTTTAGTGATTCACTTTAATTAAATAGAAATTTTTCAGAAAATTCAGTTTTTGAACAGACTTCTGTGTTTTTTGAAGAACTGTACAATTTTATGGGTGGGAGCACTTGGAATTGCTTTTATTAAATATTTTAAAACCAAGGAAATGATTACGTAAAAATATATGATTTTTCCTCTCATGTTTTGGAGGGAGATATAAAGTTAAATCACGTAACAGAAATGCTGTTTAGGGTGAATTTCAGTATAAGTCGAATCAGCTCTTACAGGAAGAAATTTAACAGGCACACAGCTCCAGTCTTACAAACTAACTGCTTATAGCTTGGTATTGTGTGATTAAGTTCTTAAATTGTTATTTTTATGCACTAAAGTAATGATTTTTCTTTTTTTTCTCTCAATATTTTAAACAGGACCAAGCGAGCTCATGTCCCGCTAACAGAATGCATATTTGAGCTTCCTAATTTGACAGTTCAAGCAACTAGAGCTCAAACCCTTCTGCTTCAAACTATTTATCAGAGCTGGTGTCATCCTGTTGGAAATGTCAGTTCGGTGGTGGTAAATGAAGCTTTACTGAATGAGGTTTTCCAAACTTCAGGTAAATATGTGATGCTTTTGGTTAAGTATTTATTATGGTACAGAGCAGTGCTAGTGAATGTGCATATAACTATATCCTTTAAATCCAGGCTTTACTTATAGTAGTTAACAGACAGAATGTTTTTTGTATGTCTATGGGTATTTATAGCTTATGCTTAAAATCCAGGATGTAAGCTAAGCCACCCAGCTTCACTCCTTGGCACCAATTTCTGGATGCATTTAATTTTCCCATACAGGATAATTTTTCCATGCTTCCCTCATCTGAAACATCCACCCTTGCTACCTTATATGGCGCCATGTTGTAACTTAAGATCATTCAGAGGTGAAACTGTTGGAGGAAATAAAAAATACTGGATTACTAAGGGCTTTATTAATCAATGGCATACATTGAATTTTTTAAAAGGTCTGCAGATGTTTCTCATCTAGTTTCATAAATTCGTCCAGTTTTATAAATAAATATTACTTAACTGTTGTGAAACGGCTGAGGATATGCAAGTCTCAGGGCTGATGATATAAATAGTGAAACTGGTTACCTGTCATCCTTTTGCAAAACACCCATGATTTTTTGGGAGTAAATTAAGGATTTTGACTAGCTTACAGAGAACACCACAGTCTTCAAGTGCGTAAAGGTCATCCAGAAGAAGATAATGTATTTTTAATTCATATTTCTGTGCAGGCTAGAATAATTTACACCCACTATTGTTTAGACCTATTATTGTTTATCTGCTGTGAATAAACACACAACAACAATTAATCTTTTTGCAATGTCCATCATTACCAGTCCTGGAGAATGTGTTAAGAGAATGATTCAGATGTAAATCATGACTTGAGGCAGAATGGTAGATTGGACTAGCACAGGAGGTCTTTAGCAGTCATATTTTCATTTTTCAGCCCTGTTGTTTTTTTGAAGTTAAATCTGTGTTGATCTGATGGAGTAAAAGAACTGTTGCATTTTCAGATGTGTAACCCTTGTAATAGAAGTTCCTTATTCTGTGTGTATCACCTAAGGATGAGATTGTGAGTTTTTATTTTCAAGTACTGGTATTTCTGAAAGTAGCAGGTTTACAATCCACACCTCAGAGAAATGTGAAAATACAGTTATTTGATCATTTCAGATGGTCTTGGGATTGGCACAGTTCCAAACTAACATGTTCCATCATTTAATGTGTTTCTGTCCTTCAGTTCAATGAACTGTGATACAACTGTGCTAACAACATATCTGCAGAATAGAAATCTGGAGCAAGTATTTTAAGTACATACAGTAAAGTAAATGAACAGTATAGTACACTTGTTTTGACCTTCTCTTGTTTGGGGCTTAATGCTTGACCTGTTAAATTTTATACTTCTGTAGTTGTACTTTGCATTAACTAGATGAAGGCAACTCTGAGTTCAAGGCTATGAAATGATTGCTGTCTGCCCTTTTGCCCTAATTCTTGGCTTAGCTGATTCCATAAGTCTGCTACCTTTTGTTGGAATACCTTTGTGTAAAATTTATCGTCATGCCTTGTTGAAAATCATCCTTGGACTTAGTGTCAATTTTCACATACTTTAACAGTAACATGTACATGTGTAAGCTTCTAAAAAAACCTGACTCTAATTGCACAGGCAAGTTGGAATTTCAGCTTTTTTTTTTTTTTGTGAAGTTACTATGAGGATAATGTAGTCGATAAGGAACTTTTCAGTAAACAAGGCACATCTGTTAATCACTGATAATCTTTTACTGACATTCAGTGTAGTTTCTCTAACATAAAATAATAGCTGATGAATGTTCTTTGGGAGTTCTTGGCTTGGGTTCCTGCCTGCCGTAGCATGCCACTGTGCTCCTCTGGGCTTGTACAGATTAGCCTTTGGTGGGCTGGTGGCTCCTGTGGGTAGGCCTGGGGGTAGTCTGGCAGGGTATTATTTGGGCTTCCCCTCCTGCCATTGTCTCTCCGAGCATCTTTGTGGGTGTATAGATGAGATTTTATCATATAGCCTAACATCTCTCAGAAATAACAGCCTTTTTGTCTATGGTATTGTGTTTTCTATCTAATCACAGCTCATTTTAGCTATGCACAGTAGTAGTACAAAAGTACTTCAAGAAAATAGCTTTCTGTCCTTGTGGTGTTGTGGATTAGTTGTTTCTTTGATCAGTTTTGTACAAATAATGCAAGTATAAACACATTTTCTGTATTTTCCTTTATTTTATCCCTCTTTCCATTTGCTCCTTGGCTTTTTCTGATTTTGTTTCTACAAAATTGTAGTGTTCTCGCAGGAAAAATTAACAATGTGATTAAAGATATCCCTACGTTTGCTTTATCCTGTTTCCCAAGGGATATCTTTCTTGAAATTCGTTGCTTCATTCTGCTGTTCCAAGAATCATAATGTGTTTGTTTCATGAGTACTGTTCACAGAATCACAGAATCACAGCATGGTACTGTTGGCCAAATTATATTCTACCTTTACGTTTTCAAACTTCTAAAAGCCATTTTTCTCACTAATTAGAAATATAGCAGGACAAACAAATATGTCTCTATCTAGATTCTTATTCCCTTGTTAAAAATAAAAATGCCCTGCGCAGACATGACATTATTCTCAAAAAAAGAAAGGGCTTATGTAGTTTGTCTTCCTGTCTTTAATGGTCTGCTGTTATCCAGAGATTTCCAGAAGATCTGCCTGCCTACCGTCTGGATCACAGGATTTTACACATTCTTGATACACAGTACACCACCATGCTTTTTTTGTCCTTTGTGAACAAACTGTGCCCTCCTGTAGAAATGTTCTAGTTGTGCACTACCCTTCCAGATCTGTACTGCCACTTTTGAAAATATACTGAGACTTCAAATTTTTCTTCTGTAGTTTACTACCTGCACATAGCTGGTCTTAAATGTGTTTGCCATTTGTTTACATAGCCTACATCTTTCTCAGCTGCCTATGTCTGTATTGCCACTTTTCGTGTGGTGATTGAAGAGTTTTGGGGCTGAAACAGTTATTGCTGAGCTCCTTGTGTCTTTGTTGAGGCTTTGTGCCAGGTGCTTTTTGTAGAGTGAGTGATGTGCCTCCATAACATACTGATTCAGTATTACATGAACTCAAAAGTGATACCCCAAGCCTTTGTATCCTCTCAGCATAGATCTTTTTTAGCAGGAATTCTGGTCCCTAGTTGTATGCTTATTCCAACACAGCCATCTCCTCCAGTTTTAAAACAGTGATGAAAATATGAAGAAAGAAAGAAAGGAAGGAAGGAAGAAAGGAAGAAAGAAAGAAAGGAAGGAAGGAAGATGGAAAGGAAGGAAAAAGGAAGAAAGAGGATCAACTAATAAAAACGGGAGAGACATGCAGTGGAAGACAAGGCAAGGAGAAGCAGGTAGAAAGAGTTAAAGTAGAAACGCAGTAGAAGTTAAGAAAGCCAAAATTTAATAGGAAGACAAGTACAAATACATGAGTTGCAGGAGGAGGAGGGAACATCAGAGAACCACCCATGACTATTGGCACTTTGACATGCTGTGGAGAGTCTCACAAAGTATGAAGGCCTCTTTGGGAACCTGTCTGCTGGGTAACTGCTGAAAGACTTTCTCTGGATGTAGTTGAAAAAGGGAGCTCTGCACCGTGTAGTTCCACAAACATGGGAACAGAATTTATAGCTAGTATCTGAGGTTCTGTCCTACAGTTTCATCTGGACCAGAAATGTTTTTCTGTTCCAAAACTTCCTTCAAAACTAATTTAGGCTGAAGGTGGTACAGGGATTCAGAACAAACTCTCAGGCTCTTTCCTGTACAAATTCTTGTTGGGAATAGATTCATGGAATGCCGGGAAGGGAAAACTGCTTGAAGCTTGACACTCTTACGTCCCCTACCTACCTACCTCCCCCGCGCTGCAGAAACCGTTGTCTACTAGGAGAAAAACACTTTCCTTGAGTATTTCATAGTTTGTTGATTACTAGACTTGCTGTCTTCATCAGATAGTTGGAGAGTTTCTCTTTTGATTAACTTGTCCAAAGGCAGGCTGTTGGACAAAATAAGTTTTGAAGTCTCAAAAGCAAATTGTGTGTATTTGGTTTCTGACAGAATTTAAGAATGAAGTGCCTGTACTGTGAAAAAATTGTACTTGTCATACATATTAGTAAGGTCTGTTATCTTAAAACTACCAATAAAAAGATGTATATGATACTGTGCCTAGTTGATTGAGCTCAGAACTTGTGGAAGACAGGTAGAATGAGTATTTCAAGAAGGACATATTGTTTTTACAATATTGTTTATGGTAAATATGTTTAAATATTATGCCTTCCTTAGCTCTAGACTATTTAGTTGTGCGAAGAGCAGATTTTTAATTATAACTGATTTGGAATTTAAAGATACAGGTAATGGCTTAATGGGATTTTGGAAAGCACCTACCTCTCTTTGTTGCAGTGACACCTTAGCACTTTTGTAATCCACACTTTTAAATGCCTGCTTAGCAAAGTTTCTTTTCAAATGTCAACTGGTATTTCTGGGGTTCAGAGAAGCCAAGGCAATTGAAAATTTTGAGATAAATATAAGCAATGAACCTTACTTGAAAGAATAGGCTTTACCATTAAAAAAATACAAGAAAGATTCATAGTGCCTAAAATAGATACGCAAGAACAAAAAGAATTGAGAATTTAAAATAGTAGATAGGAATACAAAGTGACAAAATGCAAAATAAGAAACAGATAAATATAACAGCTGCAAACAAGTGTTTGCTCTTTTTCATGGGTCAAGAAAAAGGCATTATTAACTTTTTGATAATGCGTGGCACCTAAAATAGAGAAAAAGAACAAAGGCAGTCTTCAACCCACACATAGCTCTTTGGAAATTTATGTTTGTCTTTTGGTTTTATTTTATAATCCTTGTGGTATACAAAGATGACAGTATATTACATGTCAGTTAAATAATATGTTAGTTCTTACGCTTGCACATGCTTGTGAAACATCTCGATTTTGCATTTCATCCACTATATAAATGTGGAAACAAACATGAATCTGAAATGTATTATGCTTCCCAC